ACGAGGAGTCTTTGTAGGGTGATTAAAGCCGTGTGGTGTTAAGTCAAATGAGATATTAAACGTGGCATCCAGTAGTGAAGGTGTTGAATGATATCTGTTGCCCACCGTGATAACAAGATCAATAGACCACAGGATGTTGTTACTGTCAGACTCAAGACAGGATTATACCTCCATCTGACAGTACTGTTATAGCTTGAGAATGGCCACACCAACACCTCCACACCCTGTCAATCCAACGCCATACCACCCTCCCCCCCTTCCTACTATACCATCATTAACCCCTCTCTCATTAACCACACTCAGTATACCACTTTCTTCCCCCTCACCATGTCAACCACCACCCTCCACCACCCCCAACGACCACCTCTCAACCACACACCACCCTCCTTTCCTCATCGACAAACGATTCCTGCCCCCACACAAGTATTTCCTGTAGCACCTCTCCCTCTCCCTCTCTCCCCCTCCCTCCCCCCACGCCTCACGCCCCTGCCAACGCCCATGAAAGATGATACCTGTACTATAGAAAACGTTGAGTGGAAGGGGAGGAGGATCTCTTATCTCTCCTACCCCTCCTCCTCGTTCTTTACCTCCTCCCATCCCACTCTTTTACCTCCTTCCTCTTCTTCCTCTTCCTTCTTATTTCTCCACTTTCTTCCCCATCTTCTTTTCCCATTCTACTCCTTCCCTTTTCCCTTACCCACTCTATACCCCTCCCTCCCTCCCCTCCCTCCCTCCTCCCTCCCTCCCTCCCTCCCTCCTCCCTCCTCCTCCCTCCCTCCCTTCCTTCCTTTCCTCCCTCCTTCCCTCCTTCCACAGAGTACAAGGATCGTGACGCTTTACTAAACACAGGAGGAGGAAGTCTGGTCCCCTAAATCCTCCGGTCACGACAAAACAACAGGACTCCAAGGATTCTCAAAGGATCCCACGTTGAATTTTCCTCTCTCTCTCTCTCTCTCTCTCTGTTGAATATTAATACGCACATATCTTTGTAAATGTCATAACGTGCGTGTGTGGAATATTAATGCGTACACGTGTAAGGCGTTGTAGCGTACACGAAGCACACATTTTAGGGGCAACTGCGCGCATGTTCAGGGCGTTTCCTTACAGTGATTGATGGAGATAGTTTCACACGTGGAAATTAGTTTAGGTTTGGTTTGGTTTGGTTTGGTTTGGTTAGGTTTGGTTTGGTTAGGTTTGGTTTGGTTAGGTGTGGTTTGGTTAGGTTTGGTTTGGTTAGGTTTGGTTTGGTTAGGTTTGGTTAGGTGTGGTTTGGTTAGGTTAGGTTTGATGGTTTGGTTTGGTTTGCGGTATCTGGCTACACGTCTTCATAAACACCAAGAGACACTATTCACCCCTCCAGAAGCTGTGTGTGTCTTAACGCTATTAATCCATAACTATTCGACTCTCAAGGTCAAAATGCCCAAACATCAACTTTAATCAGCCACAATGTTCTCAGTTCTCACCTTTAATTACCCGGATTTCATGTTCGGGACCTTTGACACTTTGCTATTGGTCGAAACTCGGAGTAACAATAGATCTGTGACGTCATAGGCCAAATGGAAAACAAACAAACACACACGCACACACACACACACACACACACACACACACACACACACACACACACCCACACCTCAAGAAAGTGCCAAACCAACCATAAGATTCAATAAACTTAACTAAGGTCGAAATGCAATTAGGTTAACGATACAAATAAGACCTTGTATGTTTTGATTCGCTGGGAGGTGTGTTCGCTGGCGTGGGTTTGGCGTGTAAGTGATGGACGCTGAGCCTTGTTTGGTTGGTTGGGCGGGTAGGGTGAGGATTTGTGTGGGGAGGGGAGAGGAAGGGGGAGAAGAGGAGGGGGGGGTGAGAAGGGGGAGTAAATTAGTAGGTGGGGTTGAGAATTTGTTTTCATGGGCAGTAATACGGGAGTTTAAATTAAGATGAAGAGAGAGAGAGAGAGAGAGAGAGAGAGAGAGAGAGAGAGAGAGAGAGAGAGAGAGAGAGAAGTGACTTAGGGAGAATAACAATTGAGTGAGAGTAATCTTAATGTTCCTGTTGTTGCTCCTTCCTGTTGTCTGTTGCTGTGTTCCTCTTCTGTTGCTGTGTTCCTCTGCTGTTGTGTCCTTCTGTTGCTGTGTTCCTCTCCTGTTGCTGTGTTCCTCTCCTGTTCCTGTGTTCCCCTCCTGTTGCTGTGTTCCTCTACTGTTGCTGTGTTTCCCTCCTGTTACTGTGTTTCCCTCCTGCTGCTACTGTTGTTTCCTGTTGTTCGTTCCTATTGCTGATGTCCCAATCTGTTACTTCTGTTGTTTCGCTACTGTTGCTTCTGTTCTTTTGCGCTTCTGTTATTCCCCCATTTTTTTTATTTTGTTCCCTCCTCCTACTTTTGTTTCCTCTCCACCACCTCTTCTCTTCCCTGCTCCTGCTTTTGTTACCTCCTCCTGTTCCTGCTTTTGTTCTCTCCACCTGCTACTGCTTCTCTTCCCTCCTTCTGCTCCTGCTTTTGTTCTCTCCACCTGCTACTGCTTCTCTTCCCTCCTTCTGCTCCTGCTTTTGTTCTCTCCACCTGCTACGGCTTCTCTTCCCTCCTCCTGCTCCTGCTCCTCTCCTCAGCAGACAGGGACTCGAAACTTTCACTCTCCTTCGTGGTGTTAGCTTAATATACACTCGTCATGCCTCGTGAATTCATTCCAAGTGTATTTACTCTGTCATTCTTGCTGAGAGAGAGAGAGAGAGAGAGAGAGAGAGAGAGAGAGAGAGAGAGAGAGAGGACAGTACCTGGCCATACCCCCCCCCCCCCGCACTCCCCTTAACGACTGGCCCAGATGACCTCCAGGTATTTCCTTCCCCTCCATCCTCCTTCACCCCCCTGCATCCACCCCTGTATCCACCCCCCCCCATTCCACCCTGTCTCCACCACCTGTCTCCACCCCTGTCTCCATCCCTTCCCCTCCACCTCTCTTGCCACACTACCCCTTCCCTCCCTCACCCTCCCCCCTCCTGACCCTCCTCCTCACCCTCCTCCCTCACCCTCCTCCTCACCCTCCTCCTACCACTCCCTCCCTCACCTCCTCCTGACCTCCTCCTACCTCTTCCCTCACTCTCCTCCTCCCACCTCCTCACCTCCCTCCTCACCTCTCTCCTCACCTCCTCCTCACCCTCCTCCTATCTCCTCACCCCTCCCTCCCACCCCTCTCTTCCCTCACCCCTCCCTCCCACCCCTCTTCCTCACCCTCCTCCTACCCCTCTCCTCACCCTCCTCCTCACCTCTCTCACTCCCCCCTCTCCTCACCCTCCTCCTCACCCTCCTCCTAACCCTCCTCCTAACCCCTCTCCTCACCCTCCTCCTACCCCTCTCCTCCAGACAGCCTCGGGGCCGTGGGTTGGTGGTCGACAGGTTGGTAATAATACAGGTAACAAATTGATAATTAACTACCTGCAGTGACTAGTGATTCACACATCCCTATAGTTAATAGTGACGGCGATGTGTGTGGGCGTTCATTGGCTGTGGTGGGGAGTACAATAGGTATCTGGACGTTCATTGGCTGTGGTGGGGAGTACAATAGGTATCTGGACGTTCATTGGCTGTGGTGGAGAGTACAACAGGAATATGGGCGTTCATTGGCTGTGGTGTAGAGTACAACAGGAATATGGGCGTTCATTGGCTGTGGTGGAGAGTACAATAGGTATCTGGACGTTCATTGGTTGTGGTGGAGAGTACAATAGGTATCTGGACGTTCATTGGCTGTGGTGGAGAGTACAACAGAAATATGGGCGTTCATTGGCTGTGGTGGGGAGTACAATAGGTATCTGGACGTTCATTGGCTGTGGTGGGGAATACAATAATCTAACTATACGTCCTTTGTCTCTACTACCACACTAACCACCCCCCTGCTAGTGATTCAGACATTGCAGTAGGTAGATATCAAAGTCATTATAATTACTACCCCACTACCTGACCATGTACAGTTGTGGACGAAATTACCTGGACACGTATGGTTCTGAGGTTGAGGGGGGGATTCTTACGTATTTTCTCAGATTTTTTTTGTCTTTGTATTAACGAGTTGTTGTTTGTATTCTCCGATGTAATTATATAAAGGAAAGTAGTATTATTAACTACTATAACCTTTAATTACACTAGCTATTGTTTGCTAGTTCACCAATACATTTAGCTTCACTCATAAAAGATGCATAGATGAATGAAATTGATACGTAGATGGATAAAGAAGATACATAGATGGATAAAAATGATACATGGATGAAATAAGAAGAAACATAGATGGATAAAAATGATACATGGATGGATAAAAATTATACATAGATGGTTAAAGAAGAAACATAGATGGATAAAAATGATACATAGATGAATAAAGAAGATAAATGGACTGAAGCATAGTCAAACTGCTGTACCATGTATCACAATAACGCCTTGGAATAAAAATGGTGATGGTTACTGGCAGACACGCTTTAGGTACGGCTTAAGTTATGCAAATTAGGGGCATTTGCATATCACAGGAACCGCTACAACGAAGACTACAGTGAGCTGCATGGGTAGGTGCTGTGGTAGGTAGGTAGGTAGATGGTTTGTTGTAGTGAGTTAAAGGAGAATGAATTGTTAGTGAGTGTGTGGAAAAGTGTGTTGTATTTAATGAGTTGAGTGTGTTGTGTTTGATGAGTTGAGTGTGTTGTGTTTGATGAGTTGAGTGTGTTGTGTTTGATGAGTTGAGTGTGTTGTGTTTGATGAGTTGAGTGTGTTGTGTTTGATGAGTTGAGTGTGTTGTGTTTGATGAGTTGAGTGTGTTGTGTTTGATGAGTTGAGTGTGTTGTGTTTGATGAGTTGAGTGTGTTGTGTTTGATGAGTTGAGTGTGTTGTGTTTGATGAGTTGAGTGTGTTGTATTTGAGTGAGTTGAGTGTGTGTGTGTGTTGGTGAGTTGAGAGTGTTGTGGGGGTGAGAGTACAGTGTAACTAAGAATATTTCCTTGTTATTTCTCTCTTTCAGGACTGCTAAAATACCTTCACTAACGACCCCGCTACACCAGGTGGGTTAACTGTCCCCCAGGTTAATTGTTTATATTTGGGAGTGAGTTAAGAAGGAAAGTACAGTAGGCTGTTAAGATCAGGATTCTCAGAGGACCGTAGGTTTTAATATTCCCCGCCGTGATGTTGGGATGAGGGGGGTAATTGTGTTTCCCCGTCTGTCTGTGGGTTTTCGATATAAGGATGCTGTAGGCTTTGTTATTTTCTCTCTTCCATTCTTTTATGTTTGGTAGTATATAATATAGGGTGTTGGGTATTATCTTATTTATAAGGTATTTCGATCTGCTGGTGTGAGGCGCCGACAACTACCCCACGTCACGCCATGAACAAGAATCAATCACCACAAATCATGACTACATACACGTGTGGATTTTCCCAGATTATCTCAGGGCTCTACTTGGATCTCTTTTACCCTACTCCTTGTCACGGTGGCTCTACAAAATACCCTATTACTCTATTAACTTAACTGAGTGATATTATCCCCGTGTCATATTTCATGGAATCGTTTTATGTCTTTTCACACACAATAGCACCAACGTTCGCCACTGTCACAAGTAAGACATTTAACATCGTCACCTTAGTTATACTGTATATTTTTTCCGACTTTATAAATAGTCCAAGAATTTATACACCAAGATGGCGGCTCGTCATAGGGGTTACTTAAGTGTTTGGTGTTGAGGAAAGTATAGACGACGTGACCCGTGTTTGGTGCGACCTCTGGCGGGTGTATGACAAACTCTCCTCCCTGTAGAGAGGTTTAGTGGGGGTTCCTCCTCCTCCTCCTGTAGAGAGTTCCTGCTACATCAAAGTCGATCTACTTCCACCAATTTCTTCCTCCATCACCCTCCCCTTCATTCTCAACCCCCCTCCTCTTCTCTCTTCGACCACCACCCTCCTCCTCCTCCTCGACCACCACCCTCCTCCTCCTCCTCGACCACCACCCTCCTCCTCCTCCTCGACCACCACCCTCCTCCTCCTCCTATCATCAGCGGATCTCACGTAACAAATCAACAACATAGGTAGTGATGACACCTTTAATACCAGAGTAATAATGCGAATTTCTCGTGTGTGTGTGTGTCCTCCCTGTCACCCCGACTCACCTAACAGCTGATACCAGTGTAAAACTCACAACACACACACACACACACACACACACACACACAACATACATACACACACAACATACACACACACACACACACACAACACCACACCATCACACACACTTTAAAATGTCAGATAATTTAGTCACCTCAGTCATAATGTTTGTGTAGTGTCTCGAAGCGTCATGGTAGACTCACACCCAGGCCACAGCAAAGAAAGACAGACATACCTTCACTTACCTACTATACCACAAGATTGTCCTAGAGAGTTACTGAAGAATACCACTAGCTCTTGAATTGGTGGTGTTGGTGTTTATATTGTGAGTTTAAGGTTAAGTGAAATACCCGTGTGTGTGTGTGTGTGTGTGTGTGTGTAGGGGGGGGGGCAGACTGACACTTAAACGCAGACTAATTCTTTCTCCCACGTATGAGATGAGTCACCTGGGAGTTGACTTGATTCCCAGCCAGTCACGGTAGTAAGAACAGTTAAGTCCTCTTCCTTCAGAGTCTTTCACACGTAATGTCTGTCTTGTCTGTCTGTCTGTGTCTGTCTGTCTGTGTCTGTCTGTCTGTGTATGATGCTCTTCCTTCACATTTTTCGGTAATTAGTGTTGTTATGTCTTGTTGGTCACTTGTTCAGAGGGTCACTCACTCCTCGTGTTGTTACAGTCGGCAGGTACTGGAGGTGCTCAGGCCTTTAGCGTACTTTAAACCAGGACTTTAGAGTTAATTCTTCTTTACTATCACAACCTTCACCGTTAGTCTAATTCCAAAACTTCACAACTCTTACTCAAAAGAAGTTAATCCCGATAGTTTCCCGTGTTAGTACCTTTTTTACCTCTGATAATTGCCTCGTTATAAAAGGTAGTACACAATATGGCACAGTTTACACTACTTATGATGTAACTGAAGAAAAATCACCACTAGAAAACCGAAATTAATCCATACTAGTCTCGTAGCAAGTCTTGAGGCCCCGAGTCACAGAGGATAATGCTCCTTCTGGCTACTTGTATCAGGGGTGTGTTTGTGTCCTAAACCTGATCCACCAACCTGACTACTGTGGTCACCCAGGCCTCTTCACTGATACACACACACACACACTCCTCAACTCCACACTGTTGGTTTATGTTTAGTTAAGAGCACCACGAACACGAGGTCTCTCTCTCTCTCTCTCTCTCTCTCTCTCTCTCTCTCTCTCTTACCATTTTCAAACAACAATAAAGTACACAGTCAAACAAAATCCCTCTCCTCCCCCACCCTCCCTCTCCCTCCCTCCTCCCCACTCTCTCCCCTCCTTACTTACACTCACTCAGTCAGTCAGTCAGTCGACAATTTCCAGCATTTACCAACAGTACAGCCGCTACTCTCGCGCGAGGTGGGGGATGGCACACGTGGGTAACCTCCCTAGTGTTCTATAAGGATATACGCCCCTATGACCAGGTGAAGTAGGGGTGGTAGTATCGATACACAAACAACGTGGTTAAGGCGCCTCTTGGGTCATGGTGGCACTCACTGGGCACTTGTTAGATCACTGTCGTCTTATCGTTACCTACACGCGAAAGGGAAGAGATGGGTAGTAGTGGTAGCAGCAGTAGTAGTGGTGGTAGTAGTAGTAGTAGTAGTGGTGGTAGTAGTAGTAGTAGTAGTGGTGGTGGTAAGAGGAGTAGTTGTAGTAGTAACAGTAGGAGGTGGAAGAGGAGGTGGAAGAGGATGGGGAGGTAACGTGAGGCGGAGACAGATGTCCTGTAACGTGACCACCTACTCAGGAAGTGTCCACCCAGAGAGGAGGAGGAGGAAGGCAAGAAGGAGGATCAGAAAGAAGAAGAGGAGGAGGACGTTCAAGAAGAGGAGAAGCAGGAAGAAGAGAATCAGAAAGAAGAGGAGGGTCAAGAAATGAAGAGAAGAAGAGATGAGAGGAGAAGAAAAAAAGAGAGGAAGAATAAGGTGTAGAAGAAAAGGAATAGAGGGAAGAGGAAGAGAGAGAGAGAAGGAGAAGTAGTAGAAAGAGAGGGAGAGAAGGAAAAGAAATGAGAGACGGAGAAGACAGAAGGAAGGAAGGAAGGAAGGAAGGAAGGAAGGAAGGAATGAATGAATGAAGGAAAGAAGGAAGGAAGGAAGTAAGTAAGTTTCTTTGTTCCTCACAACCACCTGTCTCATACCTTCTTCCCTTCTAGTCTCTCCCCTATTCTCCCCAGTTTTTTCCTCCCCAACTCTGTATCTCCTTACCTTCTCCACCCCCAACCCCCCCCCCCTTCCCCAAAAAATTACCTGTACAGTACCTGGAGGCGAGGCAGCGGTCACACGATGGTGGTCAGCGTGGTGGTAGTTCATAGTTCACGTGTGTGGTTGATCGCCCTCTTATCTAGTGGACGAAATCAAAGTGAAATTTCAGAGGTTGAAGTGTGTGCGTGTGTGTGCGTGTGCGTGCGTTAAGTAATAATTTTGTAACATCTATTGCTATCGTGTAACGCTTATAACACGGGCCATACCGCCATGACACACACACACACACACAGACACACCCACACACACACACAGACACACACACACACACACACACCCCCCACACACACACAGACACACACATGAATGAAAGCTATAGTAAAGCGGGATTTGTGGGTGCTGGAGGTTAAGGATTTATATATACATAATACCTCCAGAAAGAGACTTTTTATTCAACCCTGTTTTAAGAGAGACAGTAAATAATAATAATGATAATAATAATAATAATCAGTATTAATAATAACGTAGATAATAACTTTATTGGTTCCACACACATTATAGATGGCGTCTGCAGATAATAGGAGTTATAGGTAAATCATTATACCAAATAGTTGTTGTTGGTGTTTTGTGATGCGGCAACTTCCTGTTTACACCACTCGGAACTATAGAATCAGAGCCGCTCGGGAGGATTCCACACGACAATACCAACTAGCGAAAAATGGCTATGCAATTTTTTTTAGATCATTTACTTTATTTTTAATTTAATGTTTGTGTTGTTGTAAATATTTATCACCTGACATACACAGTAAATTATTTTATACCTGTTCCACCTGTCGCCACCTCCACTTGTAATATAAACGTTGTCTATATTTATAAGATTAAACCTTTAACTCTTCAGAGGCAAAAAATTTTCATGTGTACATTTGATATCACTGCGGTAGTCTAAGATGTCGGTCATAATGTAAAAATAATTCTTGTTTTTCTTCTTCTTCTTTCTTGTGATTGTCATTTGTTTTTGTTTTTATTCAGGGATTTTTAATACATGAGGATATTATGGTATGTGTGTGTGTGTGTGTGTGTGTGTGTGTGTGTGTGTGTGTGTGTGTGTGTGTGTGTGTGTGTGTGTGTGATGTAGGGTGTGTAAGTGTTAATAATAAAAACTATTGAGCCTGACACAAGTCCTTGAGGAACACAGTTTTCGTTCGCTTTAAAAAATTGGTGGAAAAAGTTTTACATCAAAATATTCTTCGTGTAAAAGATGACTTGATGAACTCTTTATATATTAAGTTGTTACACACACACACGCACACACAACTTATACTACTTTGCTGTCACTCGGAATCTAGTATGACGAGTTATTAAGGATATTTCCTTCGTTGGTGAGCTCTGAGGTGACTCGAGAGGCCGATGTTGCACTTGTGGAGGGCTATATCTAGTGCGGGAGGGGCGGCGACAGCGACTTTCCGGCGTTGGCGCTTGTCTGCCTCGGTTTGCAGTCGGACTAACTCGAAAGTAATGACACCTTCTCGTGTGGTGCTCCTCCAAGCGTTACGGTGTGGGGTGATCGTCTCTCAGGTGAGGGGGTCGATTTGGCACTTTTTCAGGTTTGCCTTACAACTATCCTTATAACTTTTTCGTTGTCCGCCAGCGTTACGTTTACCATTTGTTGGGTGACT